GGTATATTACGCTCATCGTAAACAATGATCGTAAACGCCAGCTGTAAACGGTGTGATCTACGCTCATCGTTTTTTATCGTATGTGTCCGTAAACAGTCGTTAACAATGACGAACTATACTTTCATTAAATACAGTGGCGAAATCAAAACTTCGCTACTAGAAGAGCTGAGCTTCCTAGCACTTTTTTCAAATCTGTCAAAAATAATACAAATTTTCATAAAAGCTTCTGAGATCGACACCATCCTTTGCTTTGTAAAATTCTCTTCACATATACATTCTTTCAATTTTTTATGAATAAATCAACAAATAACAAATTGGTAATTTCAAAGTTTGTTTGAAAAAATTTTCCATCCACATGAAGATTATTCTACTGTTTTGTATTAAGTGTGGAAAATGACGAATGTAGTAACAAAATGCTGGATCTTGTTCTGCTGAGTCTTCCAATCGAGGCGGATTCGGGTAAGATTCGAACTGAGATGTTCTATTAGTGTTATCTCTTGAATAAACTGGTAAAAGAGGCTGTAAAAGTGGATTTTGGTTTGTGCAACGCACATCAGCTGAACATGATTTTGCTGAAGATCTTATTGAAGAAATGGCCCTATTTGAAGATGAATTTATAGGATGAACTGGACATACATGAACTGAACTATAATCGAATAGAAACAAGGAATCCAAGTCGTTCCATGCAACACACATGTAAAAAAAATTTTGACGAAAAATCAGATTAAAATTGATTATTTGATCAAAAATCGAATTTTAATCGATTATAATGGCATTATTTTTATTTGATTTTAATATGATTTCTCAACCTTAACGATAGATTTCATTTGATTTTAATTATTTTTAATCTATTTTAATCGATTGTTCAAATTGAATCGATGAATATTCGATTTTGAATCAAATAATCGATTTTAATCTGATTTTCCGTCAAAATTTTTTATATTGGTAGAAGAAGCAGCTAATAATGAAGATAGTCAGAATAACTGATTTGAGATCATGTTTATGTGACTATTTTGTCCACGAGATTTCTTTCTAGGTACGATAAAATTGTCAATAAAGGCATTCCATTTACGCAACTTCGTTTTATTCATATCGTTTTAAACTCTTGGCTAAATTATTGTTTGTTTAAGTTAACACACTATGTCTCATAAGATTTGAATCTGTTTTTATTGTCTTTAACATTCTTTTGTTAGTCTATCACGCATAAATATTAGAATTAGGACGCTAAACTTTTGTCTCCGTTAAAAAATAACGTTGTACAAGAACAAAATACCAATCAGAAAATTTTAATAAAAAAAGTGCTAAATATTTAAGAGAGCATCCATGAGAGGACCGAGGATCGCTCCAGTATATGAGGCACTGGTCAAAATTTAATTTTTCGATTTTTTATGGGCATTCGAAAGACCGTCACCTAAAACCACCAAACCCAAATTTTTAGCTCATTTGGATGTACTATAGTAAAGTTAGCCTGGATCGACTTTCTAGCGCTACCAGCCGATTGTCAAAAATATAATCAAAATTTTTTCAGAGATATTTACTGAGATTATACTTTAACAAGTCAAGAAATTTTTTCATACCATATATCAAAAGATAGAGCATGAAAAACTGAAAAAAATGAGCTATTTAGAAAATTGTATATCATCTATTTACTGGGCTAACATAAGTGGAGGGTATGGGTGTGAGTGACGAGAAGACCGACACCCACACCCACACCCAAATTTTTCAGTTTACATATGATGTACTAAAATATTAAGGTTTAAGGATATATGTGAGTTCCACATTTCAGCTCCAAAGGAGCTGCCCTAACAAGCTTTTTTTTTCAACATTCGAGATAATGAAAATGAGAATAGCAAGAGAAGTTAGGCGTCACTTTGTTTGAACAATCGATCTTATATATAGCAGCTGATGGTAGATAATGAATTATTGAGATAATTAATCGATCAATAAATAGCGAGTTCGAAAAATCTGTCAATACAGTTTGAGGGAGTTCCTGTCGTAATGAATTTTAGAATGGCTGCTTTTTATGTTGCATCTAAATTAGATCATTTGATTGATAAAAATATTCCTTTGTCGATTCAAAAATGACTTAGACACATTTTCAATTGTCGTAGAAGTTAAACTGTACAAGACAAGAGCGATTATTCGTATTCGATTCGAAACTCGTTTTCTTGATTCTCTCGATTGGTGCTTCGCATTACATTTCGTATTCGAGTCAAAACTCGAATACCATCTAGTTTGCTAATGCAGTCAGTCTTTTGTCTCATATTTCTCTGAGTTAAATGAATAAGTCTTCAAGATTTTTCAATCTTTTAGTTAGATTTTATGCTGACCAGTAATAATTAACGCATACTTAGATATCTACCGTAAATTCTAGGAGTCCACTTCAAAACAAAGAAATCTATTGCATACTTTGTTTCCAAGGATGAGATATATTTTATGTCTATTTTAATCAATTTCCACTTCTTGACTAGTAACTTATATCGATGGTTGATAGAAGTGAAATATATGTATCTCTTCTACAAAGAGAAGAAGGCAAAAAATTAGTTGAGCAGTTAGAAACTTTAGTTTATAGCTTATCATCCATTCACTGATGAAATATTACACAAGATGTTGCTCCTTTTTTTTAAGCGACAATTGCAGTCAACAAATGACATTTCAACGTACATGAGAATATATATTCATGCGTTGTACGTGCGATATGACTATAAGATCTAACTGACAATGCTGTTTGAATTAAATGGAAACAAGTACGCGCATCGTTTATTTAGATCAGAATATACTATTCTTTATGATATGAGAGTATTTTCCAGAGTTTTTGACGTATTCTGATTTTTTAATTCTGAAAGTGGCCCTGTTATTTCGTTTAATCATCAAAAGATGTCAAGTTTAGTATACATGAGAATTTCGATGAAATCAAATATATAATGTAAAATAATCTTTTCATGACGCATTTTGAGTATTATCTTCTCTATGATTATCTCACCAAAGGATAGAGAACATAAATAGTTTAAAGTAGTTCATTGACAAAAATTTCACTGATAAAAAATTGATTCAAATTATCAATGACAACACGCTTTTGATCAAGTCATGATGGAATTAGACAATCAAAACATATTATGAAAATAGTCAAAAAAACTAATTTTTTATATTGTACATTGAATTTCATTTAATGTTTACAAGCCATAGAAAATAATAAAAATGACTCTAATAGATGATTGAACAGGATTTTCATCCTATCATCAGAAGGATCAATGTTGAAGAACAAGAAAATATTGAGAATAGTATGTATCATTCTGCACAACACTCGTTATTTTTACGTCTAAGGAAAATTCAAAAATTCTTAGTTGAGTTTTCCGAGAGTATACTCTAGATTAAGGTATAATTATTTACATAAAACAGTTCAAATAGTCCAAGAGATGGCTAGATGAATGTTGAAACGGTGAAATTCTATTGAAATGACGCGAAAAGTAATAAAGATAATGATGAAAAATTATTAGAAACAATGAATTTTATGTTAGACATTAAAATGTTATATTTTAAGCCACTCTAGTTTTATCCAAAGTAATTATTTTTGTGACAATTTTTTACCATTATCTTTGTTCTAATTCGTGCCATCTTTTCTTGTATCATTTCGCTTTCTTTCTGTATTGTACAGACGGCCAGAAAAGACTCTAATCTGAATGTGCCAATAGAAAGGTCACGACCTATCTTCATCTTCTATCAGTTCAATGATGTGAGAGCATTCAGACACTATGTGACTACATACTCTGACCTTATGACCGATAGTAGGATGCCTGCTTACTATGTTTTCTATTCATTCTTTCCTTTCTTCTCATTGTTCTTTCTCCTTCTTCGTTGCTTCTCTCGTGTATATAAGCTTGAGTAGACACAACTAACGTGATGAAGTGGTGTACCGAACATTTATACTGAGAGTAACGATTGGAAAAGCTTTCTGTATGTCTGTTTTGAGAAATGTAAGGTTTTTTGGTCGAAGAAACACTTAGGAAAAAGTCATAGTATTCTGTGAATCGATCAGATGACTCATAGTTTTCGTTTGAATTGTTCGACCTAATAGTTGGTCGCGATTGATTTTCATGGTATCTTCACATTGATTAACATTTCTCTCACAAATTCACTTACTCTTTTTTAAAATAAAAATGAATACAATGTGTTAGCAATTCTTATGAAAATTTCAGATGAATGATACGACTGTTTCAACGCTTGAATCTCTTCCAAACGAGGTATTATTAAAAATCTTACAGTTACCAAATTCGCATGATCTACTTTCAATCTGGTACAATTTAAACACGCGTTTTAACAATTTAATCCGACAGTTATATTCGTGGAATTTATCTAATATACCATACTCGCACTTTCTAATATGTTCTTCTCTATTAACTAATCATCAAGATCAAGTTTTATCATTGAAATTATCTAACATTGAAACAATAAAACAAATTTCTTTATTCTTTCGCATGTTGCCATTTCATAACTTTCATAACTTACGATCGTTGTCAATCATTCAAGTCACACAAGATGAACTAAATGATCTGATCTTAAAAATACCAACATTGAATCATCTATCATATTTATTTATTGTCTGTGATAACGGATTTTATCCGAATATGTTATTGAATGATATTATCTCTTCATCATTATGTTCACTAACCTTCAATTGTTTTTATAGTATTCGATATAATTGGTCAAGCATCGGTCATTTATGTCCTAATTTAAAGTATTTGAATATTAATACCAATATTGATTTTGAACAATATGTTCAATTGTATTCTTCTTCACTTTCCAATAATTTTAAGAAATTATCAATTCTTTTGCATGAAAATAGATATCATCCAGAAATCACAGCGTATGTTGATCTTTCAATGTTAGAAATGAATACAAACGTCGACGAATTATCTATTTGTTTGGACTGTGACATTTCATTTAGTAATTTTAAGATTATAATACAGAAATTCACACGCTTAACTAAATTATCGGTGGAAATGATGGGATATAGAACTATGAGCGATGATAGCGATTTTTTAAATGGCTTTCAATGGGAACAACTCATTTCAACATATTTACCGAATTTATATGAACTGAAATTTCGTATTGCACCATGGAAGACGAGATTGAATAATCAATTAATAGATTCATTTAAAACAGATTTTTGGATTCAACATAAATGGTAAGCATCTATTAGGTACTTTATCCTTCGAAATTTTTTATTCTAAACACTCACGAATATACCAGCTAAAAACTCCATCATTACAGACAAATACGAACATATTAGATATGCGTTGTTCAGAGTTCGAGAGAGAAAAGATGATATGAGGAAGATATCATATCAAAAAGAAAGAGAGTACATCAAATATCGAGGCTTATGTTGTATCAGAGAATAAATGAGTAGGTGGAACGCAGTACAGCAAATGATCACAAGCACAAATAGAAGAAGAAGAAGGATCAAGAGCTAAAGATACAAGGAAAAGACGGATAACTAATCGAAAAAATTACAATCGTAGAGGAAACTAGAATATCGAGGAATCCTGATCATAAACACTAATTCAAATATTATTTCTTTTTGCAATGATTGAGATAGAAGAACAATACTACAGGCTTTAAAAATGTCATACTATTTTTAACGTAAATCGATCATTTTCTGACATTTCTATGATCGTAGCTGTTAAGGAAAACTGAAGAATTCAATAAAAACTACCGATAATTCATAAAAAATGAAGAAAACTTCAAGCGATCTTTTTCTCTGATAGATAGAATTTCTCCGAGTTTTCAGCCTGATGGAAAAAATGCTGAAGTTTTATTAAACCCACTCAAAATACTATAAGCAATGTCTATCGTAGTTTTGTTATTTAATAATAAACTCGCTAACGTATTGATATTTACGACAAGCCTTCTATTTCATTGTACATGATCTTCGCGAAGGTCTCAATGAAGATCAATGAATATATATATGGAAAGAATGATTTGTAGCTTAGAAAAAAAACTACGAAAAATCGGTATTTCCTGACGGTGAAGCACGGGACATGATATTTTAACTTTTTAATTACAAATTTGATGATTATTTAGGTTTGTTGATTTTGATGATGGCATACTTTATACAACACCATACATCGTAAGAGAACTAACGTTATATTCACATCAAAAGTTATTATCTTGGTTTTCTGGAGCATTCGATAGATACAATCATGTAGAAACATTAACGCTGGATTTTTATACTAATTTTCAAGGGTTTAATAGAGCTTTATCATCGTTTGTATTTCCGAATGTTTGTCATTTATCATTATCATTTCCAAACGATGACTATGACAGCGACAGTGACGGTAATTGTACGATTACTCGTAACCGTCTGAGTCCAGCCGAATATCATTCAATTTGGATATTTTTGAACAAAATTTTGCCATTATCAAAACTAAAAACATTGACTATGTTCAACTTACTGCCAGAAAATTATTTGATCCAATTACTTAGTAAAACGACGAATTTAACAAAATTGAACATTGACTATTGGCAAGGTGAGGTATCAAATTTAACTTCTCTATGTAAAGTACCAATAATAAAACTCTCAACTATCTTTCAGGTTTACTCAAACATGATCTTGTCGAGTTTATGGTTGAAAATATAGAACTATTCAAAAATATCCAATATCTCACTATAACTCAAATAATGAATCCTAAAATAAATATTCAAAATGTCGAAAAATTTATTCATATATTTGATAATAATCGGCTTCTTAAAGTATTACATATTGAAGTGAATGACACATATCCTTTTCCAGTGTTACGATTACTATTACATGAAATGAAATCATTGCGATTTATTAGTATTAAATCAGATACATTTAAATATGAAGTTGAAGAAATATTGGCATTATTAAAAGAAGTATTAAACGGAATTGAATATCAAGTAAACATAAAACGGGATATATTATCAATTTGGTTTTAGTTTATGAACGTGAAGGCGGAATGTGTCTATAGATAAAGAGACAACCTACATTGACATCCTTACTTCTCTATGTAAATTTATTGTATATGTATTTTTGTTGATAAATTAGAATTCATTGATTTTTCATGTAAAAATCTTTGTAAAATATATTGAATTTTATTTCGAAATAAAATAAAATAGATTAAAAATAATGACATATTTATATTGTGTGAAAAAAAGCTAATGATTACAAGTACGTTCCATACCAACCAAAACAGAGATTAACAAAAAAAAATAATTATCTATGTTATTATACTTTTGTTTCTCTATATAAATGAATTTCAATGAAAAATAATATAGATTGATCTCAATGAATGTCATTCGTAGTCTTTCTCCTATCCAAAAGATATTTGTATCTAATTTGATTGAAATATTTTCGTCTTTAAGTTACATTTCATATAATTAAATGAATATTTTTGACTTAAATATTATTACATAACAATGAACTCGTTTAACATTTGAATGATATTGCTGTTAAGGTGATTCATTATGAGAAAAATTTTAATAAAAACGAAAATTTATTTTTTTATTATTGTAAAGTAGGATATAATCTGTGAATAGATATATTGCTAAGATGGTGTTTTAGAAGATTTTTGTATGTATATTAAATGCAATAATAATTATATCGATAATCTCATTGTTTTTCTGCACTTACAAGGGAACATTCCCAACTGTCACATCCCTTTTGAGTCGAGTGTATGCGCATCATGTAGGTCCTATGATCTATGAATACTCTGAAAAAAGTTCATGCCGCTAGCTTATTGCTGTCGAAATATTGCATTTTTACTGTATGTATAAGCAAAAAGCCGTGGTCCCCCTCAGGAACACTAGGAAAACTAACGAGGGAACCTTTTCAACTGTCCAATCGCTGTTGAGTTCGAACTCAGGGTGAAAGATAGACCCCAGTGAGATATGAAAAGCCCTAAAAGGATAAGTGCCCATAGGCCTTCTGTCCAGAGTTATAGGCATTTTACTGGATTTTTAGCCTATGGCACAGTATATACCAAAAAATCGAATGACAATATTTCGAGCTGAGATTTTGTCCAAAGATAGGTCTATGTACCAATAGAATGCTCTGAAAATTTCAGCTCAAAAGAATGTTTCAATCTCTGGATATTAAACTCCCAAAAACCGCGCATATCCCGCGAATGATGCTAGAATTTTTTGGCTTTTGGGTGTTCAATATCTCGAGATTGAAACATTCTTTTGAGCTGAAATTTTCAGGGCATTCTATTGGTACATAGACCTATCTTTGGACAAAATCTCAGCTCGAAATATTGTCATTCGATTTTTTGGTATATACTGTGCCATAGGCTAAAAATCCAGTAAAATGCCTATAACTCTGGACAGAAGGCCTATGGGCATTTATCCTTTTGGGGCTTTTCATACCTCACTGGGGTCTATCTTTCACCCTGAGTTCGAACTCAAAAGCGATTGGACAGTTGAAAAGGTTCCCTCGTAAGTTTCGAATTTCAGCTTGAAACTTTGTACAGGGACAGATCTCAATGAGAATAGTTTATTGTGAAAGTTTCAGATCTTTTGATTGCTTCTAGTCTAAAATAAGAACATCAGAATCTGCTGGTGTGTATAAGCTTTTTGCCATAGTTGTATCTTAGGATAGGAACAACGAAAAGATCTGAAACTTTCACAATAAACTATTCTCACTAAGGCCTATCTCTACGCAAAGTTTCAAATCGAAATTCGAAACTTAATTTTTCTAATGTTTCTGAGAGGAGCCACGGCTCTTTTGTCTTAAACATACAGTAAAAATGTAATATCTAGGCAGTAATAAGCTAGCGACACAAACTTTTTTCAGAGTATTCATAGATCATTAGGATCTACAGGATGCGCATACGCTGGACTCAAAAGCAATGTGACAGTTGGGAATGTTCCCTCGTAATTTTATTCTATAAATATTTTTATTTCGCTCAGAGAACAACCAAACTAACTTGATAAATTTTGATTGGAGTTGGTAAAAATTGAAACTTTGTATACTTCTGTTTTCAGTTGACTTTGACTTTATGTCAATTTCAAAATAAGTACATGTACCTCGTCGAACTAAAATGTTGAAAAAAGCCAAATATTTGTTTCCTTAATGATATTATGAACTACTTTTAGGCGCTTCACAAAAGATATATTTTAAGAAAAATGAAAGTATTATGTCCAACATCTTAAAAACCAAAAAATAAAATGTTTGATACCTGTAAATCTCAGGTTAGAATGGTAGGATAGGAAAGTTTCAAAAAAACAGAATTGGAATTGTATTTTGGTACTCAAAAATGTTCACAAATGAATCACAGTTCACTGAAGAAAAAGTAGCTAACAGGTACAATCGACTGATTTCATTCACTGAGGCTATATGGTGAACACTGAAGAATAAAAATTTACTTTTTTGTCACAAAGGAAAATCTTTAACGTTTCGATCATAACCAATGTAAAGTGGATACAGAATGATATCACCGTAGCTGGAGACAATGGACAGGCAACGGAGTCAATCAATTCAGTTATCCATGCAGTTTATATATTGATGATGATCAGACTGTTCATATTGTTGAGTATTCAAATGATCGTATTGTAGAATGAAAGAATGATGCAACAAGTGTTTCAAATTAGTGATGTGGGGAACCAATGAATCAAGCAATGGGCTCGTCGAAATAGTACAAGTGGACAAACAATCATTTCAGGTGTTAACTGCTATGGATTGACAATAGATAATAATGGATATCTCTATGTTTCTGGCTACAATAAATATGAAGTGAGAAGATGGAAAATGGGAGATACTCATGGAACAGTGATAGCAGGTGGTAATGGACAAGGTAATCGTCTCGATCAGCTGAATGGCTCCTACAACATCTTTGTCGATAAGAAATATTCAGTATATATGTATCTGATGGAAACAATCATCGTATAATGAAGTAAATACAAGATGCAAAAGAAGGCATCGTTGTTGTTGGTGATCAAGGTCCAGGGAATAGTCTAACACAACTGAGCACTCCTATTGCAGTAGTTGTCGATCATTTACGTGCTGTCTATGTAGCAGATTATGGCAATCATCAAGTAATACATTGGTCGATAGAAGCTACACAAATTAGTGTTGTTGCTGGTGAAAATGGATCGGGAGCAGGAGCAAATCAGCTCTATTTTCCTTGGAGTTTATCATTTGATCGGCAAAACAATCTCTATGTCGTCGACTATTACAATCATTGAGTCCAAAAATTCAGTATTGATCTAAGTTCGTGTTCATAACTATCGAAAATCAATCTTAATAAAATGTCACTTTCTTTTTTTGCATTGTTTGTTTATGAATTAATAAATGCAATAATAATTTCTTCTTACATCATCAAGATCAATCAAAGAATAAATAATTTTGTTATCAGGGTGTGTGTGAGTACAGAAAATACACACACCCACATCCTTTTGGCAACATCGGCTATTTCTGTCATTATAGATTGGAATGTAACTAAGACACAGGTGTATAGTTGGGTAACACGTCGAGATCGCTGGATTCGTCAGACACTATATCATTTTAACACTCATTTAGACCACGTGGATGTGACGACTTGTAGGGAAAGTGTGCGTCTGCTTGTGCACCACATAGTGGGTACCACCGATTTCATCAAATCAGTGATACTTACACATGACTTTGATACAGAACCTGATTTAGATCTCTGTCGAAATATTATCATGAATAGGTCTCTTAAAGATTCTAAAAATTTGACAGAAACATCTCACTATGGTCCGAATGGTACTTGGACTATTTTCTTCGTAGCCGCGCCTTTATTGTGATTGACGTCACCTAAGTTTAACACATTTGAGGCGTCATCGTTGATCTGTATTGAGTGCTTGTGTATAGATATGTGAGTGTCAGTAAGAGTAACGAGAGTTGGTGGTAGCATTGGGCCATCTCGTCACATTTACACCCACTCACATCTTTTCATAATCGGTTTTTTTTTCACATACATTTAAATGCTCCGAAAATACTACTTCTGAGTATTTGCACTCATTTTTCAAAAATCTTATCTGCTTATTTTCCTTTTTTTATTGGGTCTTTAAGTACGGCAATGTTACTAAGAATATCTTTTTTTTTTACATTCTCTTCTGCAAAAAGAAAAAGCGCCAATATTTTTCACTGAATCTGTGTCAACAGAAGATACGAGCACAATTACTCATAACAAACAAAGTGAAATGACGTTATAAAAAGAGAATTTAAAAAGCTTTAAGTCATGTTCTGAGTTTTTCATGTATGAAAAATTGCTTTCTTTTAATATTGCATATCAATAGACAACATGAATGTAGAAAGAATTTCATCATCAATGACAAACATACAAACTAAGCCAATGACGTCACGAATAAATCAATCTAATAAAGTTGGTATATACTTCGATATCTATTATAAAAATAGAGAAGAATTGATAAATCAATGGATTCTAAAATCTCAAGGTTTTTGTAAGTATTTCTTTATTTCTTTTTTCTATATTCATTGAAAATTATGTAGATTTACATCGAAATCGAGTATACGACACCAGATCTAAAAATGCTTCAGTAACTAAGATGAATACGACACAAAACGAAGATGAAATTTATTCGGATCATGATAAAACTGATGATCATTCTGATGGTAATGAGCTATTTTTTTTATCCTCATCATGCATAAGATGACTAAAAGATTATTCTTTTCTCCTCAAAAACATGATTTGGTAGTTTGAACAATTAGTTTTTCCAAAATGAATAAAGAAATCGATATAACATGAATCATAGTAAATTCTTTACAAATTGATCGGGAGAATCCATAAACAAGTTGCATTTCTTTGTAGTTAAGAGAGAGATCAGTAGATTTTGGATATTGAGAGACAGCCGAAGCATATCGTCATAGATAGACTATTATTCGATTGGAGTACAAATGAGAAAACTACTAAATGCTATGAGACTTGGAGAAGTCTCAATCAATCGACTCGTTTTCCACGATGTTAAGCATTCTGATTAAACATCTATTCTATTATATCTTTGGGTTGCCGAAGATTATTATCTATTAATTTTATCCATGAGATTTGAATTTTGTTTAATAATTAGAATATATCACTGGCGGTCTAGTAGACCATGAAAAATAATTAGCTTTTGGATAAAGAAAATGTTGAATTTAGTATTTTTTTTTATGATAGACAATGAATATCATAAGTATATTCGTCAAATATATCAAGATAAACCTCGGAAAAATCAACAAATGAATGACACAAGACTTCTTCATCAGAATTACAATTTTCATCAGCTTGTAAGCCCCATCGACATTGTTTTTTCTTCATAAGTAAATTAATGTTCTATAGATAAAGATGGAATCCGATCGAATTACAAAGCATGCAGCCAGATTGGCGTCAAAAAATACTTCTACCTCTAATAAAAGGTAAGCTAGGTTCAGTGACTTGTCTTTATCTTTTCTTGAAAAGACGAAGAAAGAATCAATTACATCGAAAGAATTTCAGTGTTGAACTGTGATTAATAATAAACGAGGAGAGCAGTCACTACTTTCTTCTGATCATTTTGCAGGAGAAATCATTCTTTTCAATAAGAACTACATCTATTTTCAAGTTCAAAACTTATAGAAAATTACACTGAGTTTCGGTAAACATGAGTAAATCACAGCTAGTTATATTCGTATTCGGAAATAATCAATGCGATTAGACTCTTTTTCAAGTTCGGCAACAGCATCTTCAAATCAAGTCCTTCGTCTATCGATAATTCGATGTTGAACTTTACAAACCAGATCGATCAATTGTAAAATTATAGCACAGTAAATTATTCTAAATTTTAGAACAACTCAAATACTGACACGTGAATGTGATGTGTGTTTGTTAATAAAATCTGAACAAGATTTTTCTCCTGCTTACAGTACAAGATGTCAACATAAATTTCGTCAAGTTTGTAATCTATGCACTTATAAAAGCATCAAAGTTATTCTCGATGACATCATCAGTGGTCAAGTTTTATGTCCTGAATCGAAATGTTTGATAAATTTTAATTCAGATGAAATTTCTCAAGTGCTTGCTATTAATAAGGATCATGTATTACTGGAAAAATACCATAGCTATCTAGACAGACAATTTCTTGATAATTTAGATGATTTTTATCGGTGTGCGCATGGATGTGGTTCTGGTCAAATCGTTGAAAGAAAATCAACTCAAGACTTAAAAATTACTTGCATCATATGTGAAAAAGATACATGTGTATTTCATCGTGTTAAGTGGCATGAAGATATGACCTGTGATCAATATGATCAACTGCATCCATGCATTGATCCTATGACAAATGAATGGATGAAAAAAAATTCGAAAAAATGTCCCGAATGCAAGTGTAAAATTGAGAAGAATGGCGGTTGCTTTCATATGAGCTGTAAGAAATGTCATCATGAATTCTGTTGGGATTGTCTGGCCAATTATGTGACATATAAATCTAAACCACGTCGGCAACACAAAATCAATTGTACGAATCATCCTATTGGCTCTTTAATCTCACGAATTCGTTTAACGAGACGTGGGAACTCATAGACTGACACAGTCTTATCAATCAAAAATAATAATCCTGAAATGTATTCTTTTTTCTAATGAACTCAACTTTTTCAAGGCGCTTCGAACAATGGAAGCTATAAAGCTCATGTAGTTCTAATACAAACTAATTAGAGTACACTTGTGTGCATCAGTGTGTGAGTACCTTGAAAGCTGACGCCTGTTTCCATCCACAGAGTAGAATGATCGAAGAATTAGAAAAAAATATTTGTTTCTCTAAAGTTACAATTCAACAACAATTCGAAATGGTTACAAATCGGATCGCAATTAACCTTGTTGAAGACGTCAGCTGTTCGGAAATAGATACGAACAAAAAATCTACTTGATAATACGTAGCATTAGAGGATATCCAAAATCTATAGATAATCATTCTACTAGATAGCAAATAAAGTACCTATCAAAGTTAAATACTTTTCTTTGAATGAAAGAAATTCAAGTACGATTCCTCTAACGAAAGATTGTTTGAAAAATATTCACTAAGTATTTCATCTATTCGTTTTACGCTCGATTTGCCTACATTTATCAAAGAGAGTGGAAGAGGATGTGCATGAGAATGTGAATGAAATGATGAAAATTCAAAGGTGGATCCGCGCCGAAAAAATTTTTTAGATTCCGTAACTTCTATTTAGTGGAAGACTCTGTCTAATTAAAGAATAACATTGTTATCAGAGCATTTTAACAAATCAAACACTTCTTCTTGTACATCAACCTAATCTTTAGATTGAATTACTATTGAAGACGCTCTTCTCGAAATATCAATATCGTAATCGAAGCGAAAACATTTTCGAAAATTTCATGGATTTTTTTTCGACTCTACGAAAAATATAAATTTATTTCATAAGAGAAACAGTTAAACAAAAAGCATTAAGAGCAACAACAACAACAAAACTAGAATAGACTAAAGGCAAAGATCTACAGCTCAGCGTTGGAACTGGGCCGGTAGAGATAGGAATTTCACCGGTTGAAAGTTTCCAAAAATCTTCTTTGTTAACTCTGTTTTTGACCATAAAAACTATGATGTCACATTTTTTTTTCTATCAGAATGCGTAAAAAAATGCTCAAAACATATGTTATATTAATCATTTTTTGTGAGATTCTCTTTGAAAAGACTAATTATTATGAGTGTTGTTTATATGCGCCCTAAACTATTTCATATTTGGAGCCATTTTGTTTAAAAATCGGTTTTCAAAAAACAATTCGACATTTTTTCATTGGAATTTTCAGCGGTTGGATATGTGATTCCAATCGGTCGGTTTCCAGCTGGACCAGTTCGGTTTACTATTTCTCAACCGGTTCCAACTCTAATACCCACACTCACACCCACACTCAATCCCTTAAGTCAAAGAGACGACAACAAATGTTCAATTCAAAATTATTTCTTCCAAAAATGTTAATCAATTTTTGGCGAAAGTGTTCAAACTTATAATTCAATAGTGAAAGATATTTATGAATTTTATATCAAAAATGTTACACAACACATTTACGATTATTCATTGATAATCAAGAACAAATCTTACCTTTTTCTAATGTTTCATTTTCTTCATCATCATTATTCACAACAATCACTAAATTCATCCGTATCTCCTGTTTCTGCTCCATTTGGTCTTACTTATGAAAAGTTCATGTCTCACTATAATCCAACTGTTGGGT